CCCCACATGCCTTGGAGGGGTCACAGAGGAGTCTCCACGTGCCCTGTGGGGTCCTTGGCTGTCCCCACGTGCCCACCTTGTGCGGTGACACCGGTGACTGCAGACAGAACACGGGGGTGTCGTCCCTGCTGCTGTCACCTGCAGCTCCTGGCACGTCCTAGAGGGGTTCTGGGGGTCACAGCCTGTCCTCCCCTGTCTGTGCAGACCCTGCAGCGATGGGGAGGCCGATTGGGCACCGGCAGCCAGCGGGCACAGCACAGCCGAGCCGCTGCCGCCGCCACCGGCCACGTCCCGGGGTGGACGGGGCAGGAGAGCCTCGCCGAGAGCGACCCCGAAATCTGGAACCTGGTGCAGAAGGAGAAGGATCGGCAGTGCCGGGGGCTGGAGCTCATCGCCTCTGAGGTGGGGGCTCGGGAAGGGGTGGTTCCCCAGGCTCATCCCTGTTTTGGGGGGTTTGGCTGCTCCGATCCCAATCCACCTTTTTTTTTCCCCCAGAATTTCTGCAGCCGGGCAGCACTGGAAGCTTTGGGTTCGTGCCTCAACAACAAATACTCGGAGGGGTATCCTGGGAAGAGGTAAAGTGGGGAGTGGGCTGGGGGAGCATTGGGATCCCCCTGCAGCCGGGATTCACCTGTGGGAGATACCCAGGGGAGACCTGGGTGCTCCCAAGCTGGGGCTGCCCTCTGCACTGAGTGTCCTGTGGGGTGGTGTGGGGATGGCAGTGGGGTGACCCCATCGTGTCTCCCCATATACTATGGGGGTGCTGAGGTGTGGATCAGATCAAGCTGCAGGTCCTTGAAGTGTTTCTGGGGTGGGGGGATGGCAATGGGGTGACCCCATTGTGTCTCCCCAGTTATTATGGAGGTGCTGAGGGTGTGGATCAGATCAAGCTGCGGGTCCTGGAAGCAGTTTTGGGGTTGGGTGAGGGGTTAGCAATGGGGTGACCCTGTCATGTCCCCCCAGGTACTACGGGGGTGCCGAGGGTGTGGATCAGATCGAGCTGCAGGTCCTGGAAGTGTTTTTGGGGTGGGGGAATGGCAATGGGGTGGCCCCATTGTGTCCCCCCAGATACTACGGGGGTGCCGAGGTGGTGGATCAGATTGAGCTGAGAGTCCTGGAAGCATTTTTGGGGTCAGCTGGGGGGTTTGACAATGAGGTGACCCTATCACATCCCCCCAGGTACTATGGGGGTGCTGGGGTGGTGGATCAGATCAAGCTGCAAGTCCTGGCAGCGTTTTTGGGGTCAGCTGGGGGGAATGGCAATGGGGTGACCCTGTAATGTCCCCCCAGGTAGTACGGGGGTGCCAAGGTGGATTAGATCAAGCTGTGGGTCCTGGAAGTGTTTTTGGGGTGGGGGAATGGCAATGGGGTGACCCCATTGTGTCCTCCCAGGTACTATGGGGGTGCCGAGGTGGTGGATCAGATCGAGCTGAGAGTCCTGGAAGTGTTTGTAGGGTTGGCTGGGGGTTTGACAATGGGGTGACCCTATCATGTCCCCCCAGGTACTATGGGGGCGCCAAGGGTGTGGATCAGATCAAGCTGCAGGTCCTGGAAGCGTTTTTGGGGTGGGGGAATGGCAATGGTGTGACCCCATTGTGTCCCCCCAGGTAGTACGGGGGTGCCAAGGTGGATTAGATCAAGCTGTGGGTCCTGGAAGTGTTTTTGGGGTTCGGTGAGGGGTTAGCAATGGGGTGACCCTGTCACATCCCCCCAGATACTACGGGGGTGCCAAGGTGGTGGATCAGATCGAGCTGCTGTGTGAGCGGCATGTCCTGGAAGCGTTTTTGGGATCA